ACACTATATGTAGTCCTCTATAAGAATGTTTTGACAAGAAATACGAAATGAAAATAATTATCCCTTTTTCTCTCTCTCTCTTCCCAACCATCAAGCGTCGCCAATAAGCTTTATTAAACTGTTAACGCGACAGAGATCACGAAAAGGTCAATCTCCTTCCAGGTGTGCGTCGGCGACAAGGTTCTCGTAGACGTCCTGAACGATATGCCATCCACCGCCGTCACTCTCCACTGGCACGGTCTCACGATGGGTCCCTCCTTCGCCGTGCCCCGAGCCGAGAAGACGCCCTTCATGGACGGCACTCCGGGCATCACGCAGTGCCCAGTGGGTCCCTCGTCCGGGTTCAGGTACTCCTTCATCGCTTCTAATCCTGGCACTCATTTCTGGCACGCGCAGACAGGTGAGGAGGAGGAAAGGAAGTTGTATTTGACAGGTGTAGACAGTGTCTAGTTGTCTGTAAGCCTAAAAATATTTGATCCATTGTTCTAATTAAATATGTCTGTATTCGCAGGTCTTGAACGCGGCGACGGTGTGTTCGGCCCACTCATTGTGCACCAGTCACATGAAAATGATCCTTACCAAAAATTGGCACAACATATCATGACGGTATGAGCTTCGTTATAAATGTGTATGCATATGCATACGCTACACACAAACACACACACACACACACACACACTTGTGTGTATGTGGAGGGTGCTCACAAATGCTTCGAATATACAACATTGTTGTAGGCTAAGTATTGCAGATTCACATAAAGTATATGACGAGTTGGACAGACAGAAAGAAGCAACGGCGTAAAATTATAATACCATACATTACAAACGAACAAAAATCGACAACAATGCAGCACATAAAAAATAGTACATCAAACAAGACCTTTACTTCCAGATCAATGACTGGTTCCACTCCTCGACGCAGTCCAAGTATGTCCTCCAGCAGCACAGCAACCAGGAGGCCAAACCCAAGTCAATTCTGATCAACGGCCGCGGACCCCAGAAGGTACACCAAATGCCTGACCTTGAATGCTATTGTACATGTGATTCATTGATAGCCCTCTTTCATCACCGTCTTATCCTTCATGCAATATATCATTAGGACATTGTCATACATTATGTCTTATATGTATATTTAACGATGTGTTAAGTGACTGAATTACTTTATGATATGTGTCTTATATTCCAGCACGACGCGGATGAAGTCGCTCGAGTCCCGTACTCAAAGTTCATAGTGGCTAATGGTAAGACAAGCAAATTGTTGCAACGGAGAGGGATTTATATTTAAAGCTTGACTGCAATATACATGGATATACATGCAGGGAGACAGATGGGTTAGTTGACACACACACACACACACACACACACACACACACACATATATATATATATATATATATATATATATATATATATATATATATATAGAGAGAGAGAGAGAGAGAGAGAGAGAGAGAGAGACAGAAAGACAGACTGGGTACAGAAAGAACGAGAACGAGAGATACACAAAGAGAACCCCAGCCCACCCACAATTAACGCTTCTCGCCCTTTCCTCCTCCTCCTCCTCCTCCACCCCACAGACACCCGCTACCGCATGCGGGTCATCAACGCTGCGGTCACCAATTGCCCCGTGACTGTGACGGTGGACAGCCACGACTTCGTTCTCCTCGCGGCAGATGGCAGCCTCGTGTCGCCCATGAACACCACGTCACTCCTCATCTATCCAGGTAATGCAGCGAAGGCCAATTAGTCGTAAGTTACAACAATTAGTAAGTTATGATTCAGTTTAGTTAATCAACTTATTTAATCGGAATTCTAAGTTCAGGTCAGTTAGAAAACATAAAAGCTTAGCCCCTTGAAAAACACTACCCTTTGATTCTATAATTTAACCAAAATCTTATTTTATTGTTTATTTCTTTTTCCACTTCTCCCATCACAAAAAAAAACCTTTCTTACCCAGGAGAGAGATACGACGTACTGATCGCTGCGGAGCAACAGACCTCTCCTGACGGCGGCGTCTTCTGGGTCCGCGTGCAGGGAGGGAACGACTGTGGGCACCTTCAGCAGTACGCACTTCTCCAGTACCTGCCCACGAACTTCTCCTTCGCCGAAGCTCCGCCCACCGTCCCTCCGCAGACCACGCCCACTCCCAAAACCCCACCTGCGCCAGGATCGGTGTGTTGTCCTGTTGTCTTTAAACAGCAATCCTGAATCGAATTAGTTTTGCTGTCTGTGTAAACTGGCTTATTTTTCTCCTATAAAGTTTTCGCCCTTTCTGTTACTAAAGCTTTTCTTCATTGGGAATATAATTTCTTACATTCATACCTAAGTAAACGTCTTTTACATACTAGCACTTCAACTCATTATTTTTTTTTTAACCTTATTTTTTAATCCACTCATTTACCTATCTCTGCACGGCTTCCTTTCGGAAAAAATGATTTTGTCAATGTCCCCCCAAATCAAACGATACATGACACGGCCTAAAATCGCAACCCCCACCAACAGCAAGACTTCAGCGGGGCATGTGGCACCGAGGGGCAGCGTTGTGTCACTGGTCTCAGGTCACCCGCCGATCTGCCAGCCTCCCTTCAGGTCACCAAAGCAAATACAACATTCTACCTTGCCTTCTCCTCCAAGCAAATTCACAACGAGAATTTCTACTCCATTCTCCTCTACGACATCTATGAAGGTAGAAAGACGTATATGAATCTCATGAGGAAATGTCTGGAAAAGATACGTTATGGAAATGTAGAAAGATGGTACCATTTCTAAATCCTAATCTTGCCTATGCATTCCGTAATTCTTTTTAACCAATTTGACCGATTTATCCCCCTTCCCGTATATTCTCATGGCTGAATCCAAGAAGGCAAAAAATTCCAGCTTTTATTTTAGCTTTCACAAACCACGGAATCCATTTCAGAGACCGACCCTACGAAGCGACTGTCAACACCCCAGATCAACAGCCTGAGCTTCCGAGCACCGCCCATCCCCCTCCTGGTCAACCACCGCCCACTCAAATCCGAGAACTGCAGCAGCGAGGGCGTGAGGCGAGGGCACTGCACCGCCGACTTCTGCGAGTGCCTCCACGTCCTGCAGGTTTCGATTGGGGCCGTCGTGGACCTCGTGCTCATCGGAGAGGGTGGGTGGATGCCAAATCAGTCTTTGGGTTTACTCTTGTTAGGGATGTTGGTCGAAACTCCTATTTTGTACACAGAATTATTTAATTTCATGGTCGGTAGTGTTTAATGTTATAAATATCTATCCGGCAAGAAGAGAAAATAACATATACGATCTTGATTGTGTGTTATTTATCATTAACGCATAAAAGCGCAATTTCGCGAATTATCCTTCATGATAAATCAACGAGGCCATGGGCATAACGCTAGCATATAACTAAACCATTGAACACTAACATATGACCCGACTCTTCCCTAGGACCCGCTAATGGGACTTCCCAGGTGGTGCATCTCCACGGCTTCAAGTTCTGGGTCCTGTCTCAAGTGGCGGCCGAAGACGTACCCACGCCGACCATGACGACTACGACTACGACTACCACCACAACGACCCCATCCCCCAACGGAGATTCAGAAGACAGCGCTGATATTCCCCTTGTAGGCGACGAGCTTGTAAGCGGCGAGCTTGTAGGCGACGAGTATCTCTCAAGGGATAAGGTGATGCAACTTGACACGGAAGGGAAACTGAAACGGTACGTATTGGACCCCGTGGCCAAGGATACCGTCACTATTCCGCCAGGAGGGTACACCATCGTCAGGATCGTCGCCGAGAATCCCGGTAAATCGAGGCTTTTTTTCTTACCCTCTGCCCCTCTCTGAAATATGACCCCCCCCCCCAATGAAGAAGAAAAAAAGTAATCAATGAATTGCGTTCACTGAATTTATGATCAGCGCTTTCTGAATTAATAACAGCTATTTCTTAATTAATGAAATACATTTTTCTAAATATTTTTTCTTAATCTAAGAACTACATTCATTTAATTATGAACTACATTTCCCCTAATTCATAGACTGCATTTCTTAATACATAATTGATTTTCCTTCACACAGGATTCTGGATGCTTGAGAGTCAGGTCCTCTTCAATGCAATGGCGGGCCAGAGCCTCATCTTGCAAGTCGGCAACACTGCAGATTTCCCTAAAGCACCAAAAGACTTCCCCTCGTGTTAAATCTGTTAAACCATTTATTTTACGGTTGTCTTCCTCTCTGTCTGTCGCTTTTTCTTTCCCTTATCTAATAATCTTCTTCCTATCCTTCTACTCTTCTGTCTCATCTACTTTTTTATGCATAATCTTTGCATGTTTCCTATTCCTAAATCCTACATTCTCTATCATTCCGTCCGTGTCTTTCCTACTAATCAGATCTCTCTCTCTCTCTCTCTCTCTCTCTCTCTCTCTCTCTCTCTCTCTCTCTCTCTCTCTCTCTCTCTCTCTCTCTCTCATCTAGTCCTTGCATTTTATTTTCCATAAGCCGAGGGTCTTTCTTCTCCCGTGTTGTAGTGATAGTCTCGTAACTACTGTAGTCGTACTAGAAAATAATTCATAATTCCCAGCACAAGAAAGTAGTTTGAAGGAGGAAGTGCGGGTATGCTCACGCTATTTTATTACTTAGTAAGAAAAATAACGAATGAAAACAATTTATTCACGCGACGATTTCTATCAATTTCGTAAATATGTGGAGGTTATTTCATAAGACATAGCATTAAGTAGAAATAGTGTCCTACATGACGGAGCAAAATAACCTGTTATCCATTTAAAAAAAATAAACAGAAACAGGAAACAGGGAAACAGGAGTATGACATGTAACTGTCGTACTCAAGGAGGTAAATGATGGTGTAATAGGGACGCGTCACTTATTTTTTATTAATTTCACATTCTCATTTATTAAAATATGGTTATTTCTAGACTTAATTCTATTCTATATGGTGTACAACAAACTATACAGTACCTTAAGTAATATCCCTTCAGAATGGTAAATAAAATTATAAAAA